AACAACAACAACAACAACAACATAGTTATTTTATTCTTTATGTATTGTTAAACATAAAATGGGTTCTTCTCTTTCTTTTAAAAAGATCATAGTACAGAAAGATAGAATAAAAAGTTTGACTTTCTGTTCCCTAAGCCCCTACCCATAGGGTTGAATTTCTTGACCATCCTTTCAAGAAAACAATAATAATCTTATATATGTAAATCCTTCAGAACTTACATGGTGGAATCTTGCTGTATAACTTTGGTACTTTTTTCTTTTTAACTTAATAATAAACCTCAAAGATTTTAAGTAGAGTTAGCTGTATTTGTTAAAAAGTGGCAGAAACTTAAATAAGTGGAATAACTATAAATAGAAACAGTGCTTTCAGACTGTCATTCTTTTAGAGTAACCTCTTTTTCCTGCTTCTTATACAAGTAAAAATCAAAGAAAGCAGAATTTTTTTGTTTTTTTAATTGGAATGCATAAGATTTATTTATAAGGCATGATAAAATTTACCTGTGGAAAGCCATAGTTTTAAATTGCTAAATATTTATGTTGTATTTTTCCTTAGGCATTGCTGGAGACTATGTTTGGTGTAAAAGTGATCATAACAGGTGATGCATTTATTCCTGGAGAAAGAAGTGTCATTATCATGAACCATCGGACAAGAATGGATTGGATGTTTCTTTGGAATTGTCTGATGAGATACAGCTACCTCAGATTGGAGAAAGTTTGCCTCAAAGCCAGTCTCAAAAGTGTTCCTGGATTTGGTAGGTTATCCCCAAATTATTTTAAGTAGTTCATTCATTTTATACGTAATCTACCCACTGTAAAATTCTAAAGAAAAACATGGTAAACTCCATTTACGTGTTAAAATCTTTTACATTTGGGCATTCCTACTTCCGTAGTGATACTGCCTCGGAAACCCAAGGAGGGGTCGCTGTGAGTCAGGCCGACTCGATGGCAAATAACAACAACAACAACAAGTCTAAAAGTAATCACCAGTTTTTTTCTGCCTTAGTGGATCATAATATGATTTTATTTTAATCTCTCTCTTTTTTGAAACATCTTACATTGGAAAAGAGAACTAAATATTCATAAGAAGGTAACTATGTTTCCTGAGGGACCAACACTTTAAGGGATATAAATTAAAGCTCAGTAACTTTTTGTTGCATGTCATGCTTTTAGTTAAATTTAGTCCAGAAACTGATCTGTACTGATAAGGTGTTTGAAATGAACTGAGTTGTTGACATTTACGTAATAAATATTAATTAAATACCTATTGTCCCAAGCATTATACTAGGTGCAGGTGTTTTCTGAACTTCCGTAACCCACAGTTTTTTCTTTTTTAGAAGAGTTTTTTTAATAATACTAAAGTTCCTTGAAATGTTTCTAACATCACAGCAGCATGCAAGGCTTCACAGTATGACAGACTGACAGATGAGTGGTGGACATGCGTACCTCTGTTTTTTTAACTATGGAAGGGCATTCAACGGTGTGGATCATAACAAATTATGAATAATATTGCAAAGAAAGGGAATTCCAGAAGACATAATTCTGGAATCCAGGACCTGTACATAGACGAAGAGGCAGTCATCTAACAGAATAAGGATGGTTTAAAATAAAGAAAGGTGTGTGTCAGGGTTGTATCCTTTCATGATACTTATACATTCTGTGTGCTAAGCAAATAATCCTAGAAGCTGGATTATATGAAGAACATGGCATCAGAATTGGAGAAAGGTTATTAACAATTTGCATGTAGATACACAACCTTGTTTGCTGAGATGAAGAGGATTGGAATTACTTCCTGATGAAGATCAAAGACTGTAGTCTTCAGTTTGGTTTATATCTCAACATAAAACAAACTCCTCAAAATTGGACCAATAAGCAGCCTCATAAAAAAGGGAGAAAAGATTGAAGTTGTTAGAGATTTTGTTTTACTTGAATCTATAGTCAGTGTCCATGGAAGCAATAGTTAAGAAATCAAACGTATTGTAGTGGACAAATCTATAAAAAACAAACTAAACTCACTGCCATTGAGTTGGATCCCACTTATAGCAAGCCTTCCTTGGGTTTCTGTGGTGGTATCACTACGGAAGTAGATTGCCCAACCTTACTTCTGAGGAGTGGCTGGTGGGTTTGAACCACCAGCCTTCCGGTTAGCAGTCAAATGCCTTAGGCACTACACCACCAGAGCTCCTATTTTGAATTCTAAAGTGTGCCTAACCCATGCCATGGTATTTCACTCTCCTCATATGTATGTGTAAGCTGGACAGTGAATAAAGAAGACTGAAGAAGAATTGATGCATTTGAACTATGGTGTTGGTGAAGAATATCAAATATCCCATGGACTGTCAGAAGAAGGAACACATTTGTCTTAGAAGAAGTACAGCCAGAATGCTCCTTAGATGTGAAGATAGTAACATTTCATGTCACCTGCTTTGGCCATGTTATCAGGGAGAACCAGTCATTGAAAGACATCATGCTTGCTAAAGTAGAGGGTCAGCAAAAAAGAGAAAGACTCTCAGTGGGATAGATTGACACAGTGGCTACAACCATGGGATCAAACATAGCAGTGATTGTGAGGATGGAGCAGGACCAGCCAGTGTTTTGTTCTGTTGTACACCCTGAATTGGAACTGACTAAACGGCAGCAAACAATAAAGATATACTTAAAGTTAGGAATGCACAAATTCATTGTATGGTATCGAAACAGGAATGTTTCAGCATGGCATATAAAAACTAAATTGCCCACTCTCTCTCCCCCACCTTAAAAGTTAATTTGAAGTAAGTAGGAAGGATGATCTAAAAATATATTCAAACCATCTATTCATATATGGGTATATGAAGTGCCCACTATATCCCTTGATATGATGTAGAGGTATTGTAATTACATCTCTGCTTCTCTGGTTTCCTTATGTAACACTGCTGATTCAGACTATTTTTTTCCACCTCTATCTAAGCCATGTTCTTATCAGTGAACTGAAGTGATACTAATAAGTATCTAAGGGCAAGTGCTGTCCTCAGGATAGACTGGTTAGGGGGCTTGTACTTTATTAACTAGATGTCTTTGTGTGTTGCTTGTCTTTATGCTGTAATTTTATCTTTCCCTTTGCCACTTGTAACAGAGATCAGTGTTGAGAGATTTACTTATGTATCTTCTAAAGAAGAAAGCTTAACTTTTATATGCATGTTTTTTGATATATGAGACCTATATGGATTTTCTATGTATTATTTAATAAATTTAATTATATCTAATGCTAATCACATAGGGCAAACAACAGGTGTTGTTGTTGTTATTTGCTGTCGAGTCGGCCCTGACTCATAGAGACCCCTCCTTGGGTTTCCGGGGCAGTATCACTACAGAAGTGGGATTGCCCAACTTTCCTTCCGAGCTCTGGTAGCATAGTGGCTAAGGCACTTGACTGCTAACCAGAAGGCTGGATGTTCAAACCCACCAACCACGCCTCGGAAGGAAGATGGGGCAATCTACTTCCGTAGTGATACTGCCTCGGAAACCCAAGGAAGGGTCGCTATGAGTCGGGTCTCACTCTATGGCACATAACAACAACAACAACAATGCTAATCACAATAAGCATAGCATGAATTATAAGTAAATAATAGTTGTGATCACTAGTCTGTAAATCCAGAGCTGTAGTTGTTGGCAGATCTGAATGCTTCATTCAGAGCATTGTATATTGTGATAAAGATTTAGCAGGTAATATGGCATAGTGCCTAAAGCATTTGACTGCTAACCAGAAGGCTGGCGGTTCAAACCCAGCAGCCGTTCCTCAGAAGGAAGGTTGGGCAATCTACTTCCATAGTGATACTGCCTCAAAAACCCAAGGAAGGGGTCACTATGAGTTGAAGGGGTCACTATGAGTCAGATCTGACTCACGGCAGTCAGTGGATTTACCAAGAAGGTCACAGCAAAAATTTATTTAAGGCTTACCTGTACTGGCATTTATTTTAGACAGCTATTTCCAAAGATAGTATTTGAATCATTTAAGAATGCTGTCAGATATTAAGAGACGGGGCAAGATGGCGGACTAGGCAGAAGGATTGCACAGACCCTCTTCAACAAAGAAAAGGGAAACCAATTAATACAGACACAGAAGATAATCTTGGACCCCTGAGCCTTGAAGGAAAGGATGCAGATTTGGACTAAACCCCAACTAGCAGAAGAATTTGCGTGAA